TGAGTGTTCATTGTCTAATAGTTGAAAGTCTTTGTACATATATTACCTTGTATTCAACCTAAATTAAAAAGAAAAACTCAAAACTCAAAAGACAACTTCTAATTTGCCTAATATTTAAAATTACAATAACTTAAATTGTAATTAGACCAAAATTTTGAGAACACATACTTATCATTCTTTAGTTCGACCCCTATTTGATTAAATATTTAATAAATTTTTATATTTTTTAAATTTAAATAATTATTTTTACATGAACCAAAATACTATTAAACCAAAATTATATCGAATATATAAATTTTATCAGGGGCCGGGGGCCCTTGGCCCTAAGGGAGCTCCGTCCATGATTCGACTCAATTAGTTACTCGTTAAGCTCGGTAAAACTTTTGCTTTGTTTTAAATATATATATATATATATATATATATATATATATATATATGTGAAATCTAATATATCATATAGCTTTATATATATACAAATTAACAAATTTAGCAAAAAAATCAAAATAATGTAAACAATTCTAAAGTCTAAACTTCAAAATAACAATCCAAAAATACACTAAACTAACAAATTACAACCAAAGTAATAATCCTCAAATACATCAAACTAGCATGTTACAACTATTCCAGAAAAAAGAAGTTTAACAACGCATAATCAATCATAAACATAAGATAATACACACCCTAAAAGAATATTAGTGAATGCTCGTAAATTTATCAATCGACTCGATTCGTTAAGGTCTCGAATCGAACTCAAATTTAAATTTAACGTTAATAGAAATTATATCACACCATTTTAGTGCTTTGATACAGTGTGAAGAACATCAGAATATGTCATTCCCAAAGAATTCAATTCTTTTCGTTCTAAGAACAATTATTTAACTAGGTACGGAAGTTGGAACCAAACATGTATTTTTTCCTTCCGATTTTAAGGCTTTATTTTGATTAATCCGGACCGAAATGCGTCGACACACCTAGTTTTGGTGATGAGTCTCCTAGCATGGATTTTCTGCATACACAATGACTCAAACTCGAGACCTTACTTAAGCAATATCAAGTTGCTTATCACTTGAACCAACCCCGTTGGAAAACATATTTTTTTTAGTTAAAATGTAATGAACTGAAATCTCGAGTCAATATTTAGTGCTGACCTAGGATTGATCAATTAGCTTGTGTAGTGAATTCCTTAAGTAAAATTTGAGCCCAATCGGTATCGGTAAAGGAGGATTTTGATCTGAGATGAAGTATGAAAGGACCAATTAGATTATTAACTCATTTGAAGATTTTGGCTGATTTTTCATCAGAATTGATTAGTTTCGATGTAGGTTTAGGGAAGGAATAGTGTTGTAAACAAATCGAGTTGAGCTTGAGTATTATTGAGTTCGATTCAATTATAAAAATGTAAAATTAAGCTCAACTCGATTAAAAAATTCACGAGATTAAAATTATCAAGTTCTACTTAAATTCAAAATAAAAAATTAAAGCTCGACTTGACTCAAAAACTCGTGAGCTTAAAATTTTTAAAGTTGACTCGAAATCAAATATTGAAGCTCGAATCGAGCTCGAAAAACATTTGAACTCGAAATATTTTCAGACTAAGCTCAATTGAAACTCAAACTTGAGCTCGAGCTTGAACCTTAAGTACATGAAAATGTTATATTGTATTTTTTTAAATTAACAATATAAATTTTAATATTATTAATAATTTAATTTAAAAAATCTAAAATTTTAATATATTATATTTTCGAGTTGATCGCGAGCTTTTCGAATCGGGTATCAAGTAGCTCACTTCAGCTTATTAAGAATTCAAGTTGAGCTCTAGTCGAGTCCATTCAATTCGATAATTAAAGAAATTTTGACCGAATTAATCTCAAATAACTCGCTATCTATCTCATCTCGTCTACGATCCTAGAGAGAAGGGACAAAAGTTACTACGTGTAACCTCATCTCTGTGCCTTCATCTTTTCATCTCTTCCCCCTCTTTCCATACTCTTTTCTACACCAAAATCCCAAGGCATTTGAATTATAAAAAAAGACAAGTATTGGAATCAATGGGATTGGTTCAACCCAAGGCAATTGAATTATAAAGAAAGACAAGTATTGAAATCAATGGGGTTTGTTCAAGTGGTAAGCAGTAGTCCAAATTAATAAAGGTAAAGCTCTATAAAACCGGAAGAATCAAAAGAGTGATTATTCACTAAGGTAAAATCACCATCTCCATCATTAGAGCTTCAAGAAAAGATCATTATTGTTTGTCACTCTTTCACACTTACTCTTCATGAATGAAAAACAAAATTTCACATAGATTTCAATATTATCTTTTGTAGCATACAATTCGTATTGTTGTAGATAAAGAACATTATGCACATGTGGCTTGTAACACACTTATTTACAGTTAGTAATTTCAAGTTAACCCGAGTGGGTCTCGGGATATTTATTAAGAGAGTTGAGAGCATTGGACTAGGTTTAGACTTGATTGGTTGAGAATTGGACCCAAATAGCCACAAAAGGGTGTTTTTGAATTGAGACCAAAGGAGGAAATACCAAGGAGGTAATTAATCCCATGAGCATTTTAAAGGCTGAATTTTATTTATGTGTGATGATGTAACCAGGCAAGACATAGGAAAAGTTGATCGTCCCTTCCTCATTTTCCCTCCCAACCTTGTCTTCTTCTCCATCTTGTTTTTCTCTTCTCTTCTTCTTTCAATATCACCAAAGTTGAGGGATTTTTTGTCCATCATCTATAGTCCAAAAATTGTAAGGTAAAATACTTAATCCTCACCACTAGAGTTTTCATTCAAGCCCTCTATTTCAAGGTTTGGTTATGGTAGACATGGTGAGGGTTTTGGAGGGTTTTGGGTTTTAAGACTCTAAGTTGATTCAATCTATTTTGAAGTTGGGGATCATGTTTCTACTTCTTTTAAGTTTCTATATGAGTTAGTAATGCATTCTCTGACTTATGATTAATGAAAGAAGTTGGAGAAAACTCCAAAGACTAGAACAATGAGATATTTGTGCTTGGGAGAACTTTGGGAGAACTTGAGGTATTTTCCAGTAGCTTAGGATGAAGGTAACATACCTCTAACTTATTTATAATGCTTATAGATCACCTTTAATGACACACGCTAATTTATGACTTGCAAAACATGTGTGTCATAAAAATGTCATGTTTCTTAAAATCTTAACGATTTATGACTTACAATAATGTGTGTCATATTTAATAGTCATAATCCAAAAAATTTAGCAAAACACGGAGTACACTTTTCATTGTGTGTCATCTCTAAAGGTCATCTTTTAATTCCCCCCCTAATTTTCATCTTCACTTCTTTTCAGTCTCTTTTTCCAGTCTGTTTCCCTCTCTCTACGTACCCTTTCAAACTCTTCAAATACCAGCAAAAAATGCCCCTCCCTTCTGCATTACCATTCTCTCATAGCCCTTTCTCTTCTCTTCTCATCTCATTTTTCTTCAAAATCAGTTTCCTTTATTTCGTTTATGGGGGTTCTGTTCAAAATGGCGAAGGCTAATGTCGAGAAGGTGAAGCGGCTAAGAGCTTGGGTTTAAAACTATGATTGGGGAAGATGTAGGACAGAGGCACAGGTGGCGAGGCTTTTGGCTTTGATTCTGGGTCTGAGATTAAGCCTGATAGGCCATATGCTGAGTTTTGGATGGGAACCCATGACTCAGGGCCAAGTTTTATGGCTGATGATAATGGAGAATGTGAGAATTTGGGTTTAAAAGATTGGATTTTGAAGAATCCGAATGTGCTTGGTCACAAGGTTTTGAAAAATTGGGGGCCTGATCTTCTTTTTATGTTCAAGGTTTGTTCTTTTCTTTTACACGTATTTCTCTACTTTCTTTCTGGGGATTTCTTTTTTTTTTCTTTCATTTCCTTTTATTACTGGGAAATTGAATTTTGATTTTTGTGTACATGTGTTTGGAATTGGGTTAATGAGTTTTCTTTTTCATTTTAATGGTAATGGCCAGAACTTGTGCTTCAGTATTCATGGAAATTGAATTCTCACCGTTCATCTAAAATTTCCATTTTTACCATTTTTGTGATGTCCATTATTATTTCCCACTCTGCTTCTTTTGGTATTTAGAAGTGTAAAAGTTTACTTTTTGGGTTGTTTTCATCTCAATTTAAGTTTAGATCAAAGCGATCAAGATAGAAATTAGGGAACTAGAATGGATCTTGGAGATGTTAATGGCAAAGAATTAAGCTTGATAGTTAAAAATGGCAACCAACATAACTTTAACTACAATATGAGCATTTTCTTCTTCTGGTATTTATCTTTTGCAAGTAAAATCCCAACCTGATTACGTGTTTCATATGCTTTAATATAGGTACTTTCAGTGGCAAAACCCCTTTCAATACAGGCACATCAGGATAAAGAATTGGCCAAAGAATTGCATAAGTTGAAGCCAAATCTCTATAAGGATGCTAATCATAAACCTGAGATGACTTTGGCCATAATAGAATTCAGGGCCCTTTGTGGGTTCATTACTCTTTAGGTAATACATGAATCATGCTCGATTTTTGGTGGTGGAACTTCCCTTTCCTGGTTGTCTTCTTTGAGTGAATTACTCTTGCCTTTATGTTTTCTAAAATTCTTGGTAGTCACATTTTGCAACTATATTTGTCATCTATGTTGTCAAGTTATGATTATGGAAACGATATGCATGATGAAACTTTCGAGTGAAATGATATGTTTTCAAGTTTAAAATATTGTGTGCAAAATAAAATCTTTAATTTTTTTTATGTTTTTATTTCAACATCTGTATGTTATTAATTCTGTCCCAACTGCAAGAAATAGCAATGTACTAACTTTTTTTTATTTGAATCATGTTGAAACATGTTCTACTTGGTACCATGGCATTGGATCAATCTTCGAGTCATGATGAAGACTCTAAACAAAGAGGTCCGACAATAAAGGGAAAAACTACTAAAGGAAAAGTTATCGTTACTTACAAAGCATGCTATTATTCTTTCATTGTAGATGGCGGATTTCACTTGGCTTTGCAATACTAGAAGCTATTATATTTTCTTGCTATTCTCTTCCTTATTCAATTTATGTAGCCAGTTACAGGTACTTTAGCAATATAAACATGAAAGCAACAATTTATTATGCTTTTGTTTCTCATAAGAAATTGACAGGATATGACGCATATTCAGCCTTTTCCTGGAATAAAACTAAAACATAATTTTCACATGTTCTCTATTCATTTTTTCCATCTATGCCTTATATTTGAGCTTTTATTTGTAAACTAAATTCTTATGGTTTTTGTAGGGTTAAGCATGTGATGGTGACTGCTTTACTTTTGGTTTATGGTGCAATGACTATGACATGGATCTGTGATACTATATCAGAATCCGGATTTGGTATCATTCTTATTATATTTACTCCTTATTTATTTCAATTGTTACAGACAAGTTTTTAATTTAATAAGAACAACTGAGTAACTGACCGAATAAATGTAAAGCTAGTGGTTATTTTCTCTAGAATCTATAATGAGGAAAACTCTGGAAATAGAGCTTTAAGCAAAAGAGTTTATTCGATGTGCAGAGACCTTATTGGATTGGTGGAAATATAGGAAATAGTGATATTCTTCTCATATGTTCACCTTGAGACGAGAAATATGCTTTTATCCAATATTATAGAAGTTATAGAAATTCATTAAAAGTTTCAGCCTTTCACTTTGTCCAAAGTCAAGGAAAGTTCATATAAAATTGGTGTGCTTTTTAAAGATTTTGTTTTCTTATATTTTGAAAGTGATGAAGCTGCACATTACTGCGATGTTTTGAGTATTGTGGCCTTCTTAATTCAATGCTTGTGTGTTTCAGGTCAAGGTTCGTCTCTAATTATATGTGTTGGAATATTAACTGGATACACAGATACGCTGTACGAGATGTTGGTATGCCATATGTTAACTTAACTCTCAGACAATGTCGTGAGTTGGTGGCCATACATGCTTGCTGTATTAGGTGTTTTTATTGTAGTCACCATGTGGGCAGTTGTTGTAACTGAGGGTTGCATGAAAATAAAGCTGCAGTACTATGGGTTTAAACTAACATCTACTGCAAGGTAAAGTCAGTGCTACTTACCTAGACATTAGATGCATTTGGTGGAGAGATATAGGCTTTGGTTTCAATCCTTCTTTGTGCAGCATAGATAGTACAGTTCATGGCTAATCCAAGCAGGGAGCAGTAACTAATTTTATGTGAACTAGGACTACTATTGTTGAATTCATTTAAGGAGATTTGTAACTTTCAATGTTTGTTTATTAACTTATAATAATGGTTATATGTTCTTTCTCAATGTCGTATTTTCTTTGTTTTGTGTGTTGGATAGGGAAGATACCTCGATCACTGAAGTAGAACCCTATATTCCTTTTAATATTAATCCATCAGGAATGCAGCATGTTCTCACTACCACTTATCTATTGGTTTTTCCAAGTATTGTTGCAAGGTAATTATGCCCTGAAGTGATTTAAAAACCTATTTTGAATCCTCTGTTCTATTCGCATTTTTGGGGCAATATTCTTTTGATGTATACATTGGACTAATCTTTCAAATCTAATAATCAATCCTTGAATTTATATATATGATGTGTTTTTTTGAAGAATTCTGCAATTCTGGCTTTTATTAGTTTATCCATTACTCATTGCTTCTTTCTGTTTGCTGTTTGTGTGGAAACTCCTGTGCAGGACAACTTACCGAAGGAAATAGCAATTACCTGAATAAGATGGGTGACAGGATACCAAATATAAAGCCAGGGAAGGCTACTATTGAATATCTCTCAAAGGTTTAGGCATTAACACATTTTGGGGGTACATTTCTGTCTGAAAAATAACAATATGTAGTTGGAAGCTTATGCGCTATATGTTTAACCTGCTTCTCATTTCTTTTGGGATTCTTGGCCGTTTTGTGTCATTTTAGTACTCTTTGATAGTTATATACTTCACTTTAAATAAGTATAAATTATATACTTATTTCATATTTTTTACTTAGGTTGGCGATGGGAAGGAAGAATACACGGATGATGACATTGATGATATTCGCAAAGAATGGGTATCTTATGTGGCAAACTTTATTATGACGTGATATTTTGTATCGACATATGATTACAATATTTTTGATAACTTAATGTTAATATTTGTATGCAAATGGATTGCTTATATATAATATGATATATATATTTAGTATTATGAGGCATTAAATGTGATTTAGTTTGATTATTTGTCAATATACAATATATATATATAATTTACGACATACAATCACGAACACGAATGTGTGCCATCTTTTTTAATGACGTGTGCTTCAATGACACGCAATGTAAGTCGTAAATGTGTGTCATAAATTTATGACACAAAAATGTGTATTATCTTCATTTATGACAGGGGCTTCAATGACGTGCAATGAACGTCATAAATGCGCGTCATAGATTTATGACACACAATTATGTGTCATCTGAGATTTATGTGGTGGCTTCAATGACGCGCATTTGTGTGTCATCTGCATCCATAGATGACGCGCAATGCACGTCATTAAAGGGATTTTTTCTAGTAGTGTGTGTAGTTTGTTTGCTTGTATGAGTGCATGAGGCATAATGGGTGCATTTGTGTTCATAAGGGAATTGGAATGTTTTGATGTTATGCATGAAAAAATATATTATGATCACTTGAACTTACATAAGTTTTAAATAACGTTTGAGGGCCTTATGAGGACTTAGTATATGAGTAGAAGAGATTTACTTGTGAAAAATAGAGCATTTTGGGGTTGGGGTATCTGTACTGGATGAACAATACTGATATTGTTCGTCTGAAAGGCCATAAATAAGGGATTTTGGTTAGGTAGTATCGATAAGTTGTTCATAGGGTATCAAGATTGTTCATTCAGTATCGATACCAGGGGTTGATTTCAAATTCTAAAATGAAAAATTGGTAACGATACTCGGGGCAGTATCAATATAACCAAAGGAAAGTATCGATACTCTAGGTAAATTTTCAAACATCGAATTCAAATCCAATACTGATACTTAGAGGAGTATCGATACCTTAAGAGAGAAGTATCGATACTAGAAGACTATCCCAAAATATCGAGAGCCAAAATGATATCGATACCCAAGATATGTATCGATACTTAAGGATCGGTACTGATACTACAGGGTCGATTATCAGTACCATAAAAAATGCTAGGAGCCTTGTTTGCGTAGAGACTCGAGTGAAGGGTGAAACTCTATTTAGAAAGCTTGCAAGTAGAAATATTGAATAATTATATGATAAACATAACAACATTAAGAGGTAAGATTCCCCAAGACTTATACTTTTGTTTGATGCTCGGGAAACGATAAGGACACCCAAGTTACTTATGTATGTCGTCTAGTTATTTGAGGAATATCTTGATATATCCAATTCAGTGTTAGGGAACTTAAATGCTAATTGGGTGTTGCTCTGATGCTCTGTGACTCGGACGAGTCCCAATTACTCTAGAGGAATGATAGACTAGTCGGATAAGATACTAATGCTATGTGACTCAAATCTTGCCCAAGGTACTTGGCAACGAGTGCTATTTGGAAGTAAGACATTGTTGCTACGTGACCCAGGTCTTACCTATGGTACACTTCCTAAGCAAACATGGGTGTGAGTTATGTGATGTTGATGTGACCTCGAACTACACCATGATTCTTACTTATGTTGTATGATTGATGTATATTTGTTCTCATGACTATACCTATTAGCATGCTCATATGGTGAATGCATGTAGTATAGTTGAGTTATTTGTGTGGCATTGAGCTTGTAAGTTCAGCGTTCGAAATTTTTTTTGTGCGCATGTATTTAGGTGCCGGTCGAGGAGTTCATCGCCAATTCGTGGATTTCATATTTGATCAAACTTGTTCAAAGTACGTTTTAAGTATTTAGTGGGCATATATTATTCATAGACCTTATATGTATTTGAGTCGTAACTCTATTTTGATAAACTTTGTATGTTTTGGATGTAATCTTGAAAGCTCTTTTTTTGTAAATGATACTAATTATGTTTTAGACTATGGATTATTATGGTTTTTAATTATGAACATGATGAATGATTTAAAAAAAATGGTTAGCCACCTTGGTGGTTCCGTGTAATATCCTAATCCTCTAGATTTCGAGTCGGATCAGATTAGGGTGTTACATGGCTCGCCACTTCTCATTCCTCGATGACTAATGGTTCGCTCTTCTTCCTACATTTTTAATTTCAAACCATAATAAAATTTTCAAAAAACAAATTAACATTATAACATTTAAAAATATAAGAAAAATATTATCGAATTAATTTCAAGCGATAAAATATAAACATCATGAAGACGTAGTACTTCTTCTCGAGGAAGACATTTTAAATCTAAAAAATATTAGCAAAACTAATATTTTAATTCAAACATTTAACAATATAAAAAAATATAAACTTACATAAAATATTTGCAAAAATTCTTCAAATCTCAATTTTCTTCTCAACAATCTTTTCTTTCTCAACAAAACACAATACAAACATTAACCTAAACCCTATTTATACTACAAAAAATCTCAAACTCAATGATCATAAATTACTTGTCCCGTGACGAGTTCCATTGAACTAGTCGTTTAAGACCATTGGGTTTTAAACGTTGCCCGTTCATAGAATGACTACAAAATTTTTGTTATCACCTGGAACTCGTCACCCACGTGACGACTTCCATAATTTTTTTTTTTACTTTTTTATATAAAAAATATTATTGCATTCAAAAAATTAATATATTTAATGAAACTCGTCACGTGGGATAACAAATTTTATGAAAAATAATAAAATAATCAGATCAACAAGACCCACTTGACCGGGTACATTTAAAAATAATCGTCACTCCAGGATTGCGAGTTTACCCTCTACTATAACAAATGTAGTAGATCCCTAACTAATTTTTTGTCCACCCTATAAGCCCAAATAATTATCTCACCTGGATTATTGAGGTAATTTTGCCTCTTTTCTACACCAAAATCCCAAGACATTTGAATTATAAAGAAAAGCAAGTGGTGGAAGAGTGATCATTCACCAAGGTTATATCACCATCTTCATCTTTAGAACTTCAAGAATAAAATCATTATTGTTTCACTTTTTCACACTCGCTCTTCATGAACGAAAAACAAAATCTCACACAGATTTCACTATTGTCCTTTGTCCCCATTCCTAGGCAATTTGAGTCTAAATCAATTCATTGATTCATTATTCACAGCAATTAATTAAACTAAATCCATGAATTCGCATGTATACATTCATGTGAAGAAAGAAAAACCTTGTTGAAAAAATATAAATAAATATATACAGCCAAAATTATGTTAATTAGCAAAAGCAAGACAAATAACTAAGAGACAAATGTTAAGGGCACCTATTTACCACAAAAAAAAATTGATCTTTGAATTAAATCCCAGATAAATTTCAAGCAACTTGCCTTTTGCTAAGATATATATTACTAGTACTAAAATTATCCCTTGTATTAACTCTTCAACTTCAGTTATCAATGAACAATCTGTTGTCCGATGTCACCACCGGCAAGCATCTCCGAGCTGTGATGATGTACAAGGTACCACCGTCCATTATGAAACTCAAAGATGTTAGTCATATTAAAGGCCCCATTATCCATGTCAACATAGGTTTTCATAGTAACCCAAGCCATGTCCGTTAATACCCGCGCTCGAACATCTCTGACCTGAAAATCAACCCCTTGCCCCCAATTAAATGCATCCTGCCAACTCTGCATTACAGCATCATACCTGCAATGGGAAACAAAAATGGATCTCAAGGTTCTAAAATTCTATTTACATGTTGCTTCTAAAAAAGGTATCCTCAACATATATTACATAAAATTTCTTAAATCAATAATTCCCAT